GAATAAACTGGAAAATTCTCGATTCAGAAAGCAAGTCAAAAGATGGTCTGCTCCACGCCAAGTAGCTTGTATACTTTTCCTACCTGCCTTCTTCTTCCTCAACACGAACCTTTTTCTTCTAAAGGAGAATGTAAACAGAAAAACGGTAGAGCTTATATACTGGGCCGTGAAGCTCAAGTTGTTTCCAAAAGTTAGATGAAGCATGTAACTAAATGCGCAGATAAACAACAGTAGGCCTGTTAGTTCTTTAACAATAGGAGGCACATATTTTTTCTGCTATCCCGAAGATATGAAAACCACCCTTTTCGATACATAAAGACAGTGAACGCTGGTATTTCTGAACGCTGTTTGGAAACAGCTTTATCTATTTCACTGTGTCTACTTTGCAGAGCGTTAGTCTGTTCCACACCTTGCTTCTGAATACTTTCTACAAGTTTCACTAGTGGACTATGCCGTTTCTAAGAGAGAAAAGAATATTGAATATTTTTTCTGACTAGATATATGGCAGTATTTACAGCAATCCACTAAAGTTTATAACTGTGTTGCCGTTGAAACTCAGCCACGTTCAAAATTGACAAGATGATTCACAGCCTTCGAAAGGCAAGCTGCTTTGAGTTTTACCCTTTTGATTGTCCACACTAAGTTAGTTGAGCATAATAAACACAACAACAGCAACTTGGAGAATTATCACACAACTATTTTCGTTTTGGTACTTTTGAAAAACTGTACTTTAGAAAGCTATCCTCCTGTGATAGGAGATCGTTGTTTCACACAGTAAACTCTTTTTTTCGTATACAAAAATAAAGTCCTTGTAGTCAAGAGGCAAAGAGCAGAAGGAGATTCTGTGATATGAATGTCTTGATTTCAGTTTTTGAAGCCACGATGTTGTAACTTTTGTTTGCAAGTATCTGGAGAACGAAATAATCATTCTGGCTTTGTAGAATTTCTGATTACTGTACCGACTCTAGCTTTCGTTACTTTATCCTGTTGTCGCTCGGTAGATTATCACCTATTCCTGAAATAGACGAAATGATAGCTTCCAAGTACCTTTTGTAGAGGCTCGATTGATTAATTAGTTAGACTTTGAAGATCATTTGTTTAGGAGCGACAGGCAATAAATAGCTCGTTTTCAAGAAAATCTTTTATAGGCTCAAACTGTTTGAAAACTCATGGGAGAGTAACTTATTCTAGAAGACGATTGAGCATCAAAAAATAATAATCGAGAATAAAAGCAGCGCACCGTTTTGATGCGGGCAAAGCACTCTTTTCTCGATACTGTTTAGAGTTGCTTCCATCTTTACAACGATCATAGTTCATCTAAAACTGACCTTCATCTGTTGGACATCCTTCACTATGCCAAAACTCCAAGCGTTTTAAAACTTTGTCAAGAAAAGAGAAAACTTTTTTTAATATATATATTCAAGAACTCTAAACTACCCAGTTACACAACATGTGGTCAACGGAATTCTTAAAGTCCATAAACAGACTGTCTCTTGTCTTCAGAATAGGCTGATTTCGGTCCCTTTCTGCTTGCGAGAAGACAAATACTCGCAAAAATATTTCTTGCGAAAATTCAAGGAAAGAGTAGTAACTATCAATCCCAACATGTTTGTCACTTATAGATCTAAGCTATCCGCCTTTACCAAGGCTAAAGTTTCTACACGACTTGCATCTTCTCCATAATCCCTAATACAACATAATAGTAAACAAAAGCTACCTTGCTGAAAACTGTCCTAGTCCTAATATGATTCTAATCTTAGTAAAAAACTATCAATACCACATTTAAAATGAATATCTGTTGTAACTCTTCTATGGAGGACAATTCAATATGCAACTTCTTGTTGAGAGAACCACAATATTCTCTCAGGAAAAAGCTCCGATCAAATGAGAAAGGCAAAGAAGTTGATGCAGCGACATTTGCTCCACTTCATTTGTATTAATCCTTGGACGAACATTTCTCTCTTGTCCTGCTTCTGCTACGGAAACTTGTTGCACATTTTGTTTTGTTTAATCTACTGCTGACATTTCCTGTAACACGCATGTAAATGCAGAACTCAAGAGAACTAAATTATAATCTGATGAAGCGCTGTTATCGTTTACAAAAATTCTTTTCTAGTCGGTCACAAGTCTTCAATCCAAGAAATTGTTTCAAGCTAATAATAGAACAAACGCTCAATTGACAACGAGAAGGAATCGTTAACCGTTCCGTGACAGAGCCACTTGCAGATCGACGAGCAAGTGTTCTTAAATAAAGCTGTCCATAATCATAATATATTCCGCTCTTCAATATGCAGTTCTCATTATTTCTAAACTCCCTTGAAAGAACTTAATTGGTATATTCCGTACTTCCAATAGGCTCAATAGCAAATATATTATTCGCTTCCAAGTCAGTTTGTTGTAATATCGGAAGCAGAAATTTTTTGTGCTTTTGCTCGAATATCAGAAACTCCTTCTCAAGTGAAAAACTCTCATTTGATTCCAGTAAAAGCAGTTGCGATGATTCTGTCTTTTCTTCGAAAGATGACTCACTAGTCGACTTTGTAACGTTTTTAGTACACGAAGTATCAAAGTCGGGTCCTCTTGATTGTTTAGTTGAGGAATGAAAATACCATCTTCATTGAATAAGAATGCTTTATACATTGGAAGGATACGTTGTTCTTGACGCAGTAACATGTCCTGATACTCCGGAATGAAAAGAAGAGACATACTTTGAAAGAGGAACATGACTTCATTACTAACAAAGTACGTTTCCAATGAAGAGAGAAATTTTTTAAGATATGAGCAAAGAGCAGCATAGAAAACACAGTATATACTATAGGTTCCATTCTTTCCATTCTCACAGGAAGACTTTCAAGCATATGAATGCTTTCTACCTTGTTCCTTGATTCTTTTTCTGATAAATCTCTCCATTATGGTCCAAAAACTGCCGACGGACCGGAAGTGTTACATGTAACAAATAATGCTATGCCTTTTCATAAACAATATTTGTATTCGGTTGGTCTATGCAATCAGAGACAAATATGAGAGTGGTGAATGAATGTCATCTCCTTCATAAAAATTCCCATCGAAATATTGAAACACAAATGAAATAATATTTCCTTGTTCAGCAGTTTCACTAATTGATGACTAAGCTCCCATCATGTTAATCCACGTATACAAGGCAATATGTCGTCGTCGAGGCGAATTTTCCCTTAAAGCCTCAATGACAAGAAACCTCTACAGGTCGTATTTAGTACTTTTGAAAAGTCAAGACTAGTATGATTTACCTGGATATTAATGAAAGATCAAGTGGTACCAAAACCATTGGGTGGGGTTTAATTGCATCTTGTATACTGTAACTGATTATATTTGACCAGGTCACCATAAAAACTTTTGAAATAGGAAAACATTTTTAAAAATTCTCTGTTGTCTTGTGAGCGATTTCCATATATATTTTGTAAGACAGATTCATTAGGAATATTATTATTATTATTATCAATCTTCCAAAATGTCCTTATAATTGAATTGATAACAGCGCAAAGTCAGTTTGGAAAGCTTGCTTGAAAATTCTTTTCATAATATACACAGGTATTGAAACTTTGGAAATGTGAATCTTTTTCACAAAGAGTTCATATGCTACATAAGTGACAGCAAAAGTTTGGTTGTTGCTAAGTTTTTCATTGGTTTTATGAATAGATTCAAAAATTCGTCTAGTGCTTTGTTATTAGATCCTTCAGTACGGAGAAAATACCTTTTCAAAACTATAACACGGAATAAGGTCAATACGGTGTGGTTTTCTCAACTTTCCTTACGAGATATACTCCCCCATCTTCATTTGGTGATGAGACCCTTAGAACATCAAGTTGAAATGTATATATCGTAAAAAAGTAACAAACTTGGAATTGCAGAATCCCTTTCAATAAGCTCTTCTGATCGGATAAGAATAAACCCCATATTCTTTCTCAAAACAAATAGTAGAAGACTAAAGACAAACATGAATACAAGTTGTCAAGTTTCGAAGATTGTCCAAAGTCGAATCTATTATATAGTTTTCAACGGAAAAATAGATAAGCCTTTAGCATTATTGTTATAATCTTAATTCAAGCATTATACAACTAGTGACTACAAGTGCATCATCCAAACCATGCAACTGTGGTCAGAATTATAAATTTTCAAAAAGTT